TTACTCTGGGCAATTTGGGGATATTCCACTTTCTTTTCAGGGCAGAATGTTTATCATTTCAATTCAAGTTGTCAAAACAGATGAGGGGAACCATCCAAGGTTCATGTCCTGTGGAAAGCTATTGCTGGGTGCAGGAATTGGATCTAAAAGAAGGCGCCTTCGCTCCCACATGACTGTTGCCTGGGTCTGAGTAACTCCATCCAACAGGAGAGTGTGCTGTTCCCCCGCAGGTTGGAAACTGGGAGAATTGAAATAAGATTCCATCAGCCTTATTAAAATATGCGAGGGCTTGGGTCTTCTTGGGTACCAATCAGTCTAGAGACTTAGAAGCATTTATTAGCAGTGGGGCTGCTGAAGGTTTTTAATGATAAAATTACAAATATTCTAGCTAATTGTAAGTATATGACTTTTATACTCATTTTTTTAAGAGGAAAAATACTTTTTTTTAATGAGGGGAAAGAAGTGAAGCCGTCAGAGCACCTTCTGTGATTAGCACTATTGTATTCTTAAATTTTGATTGATAGAGATAATAGTTTTCACGTAAAAATACAGACAGGTACTTTAACTTTCCATGACAATAGCTATTTGCATTTCTTTTATCTTTTTGTTTAACATTTGTGGGGGTTGGGATGGATTTGATTATTAACTCTTATTGCACACTGAAGGCGAATCTAAAACAAAGGCTTTGTTAGCGTTTCAAAGGCAAAACAGCAAATATTGTTTTTGGTTTTCAACGTGTACAGGTTGTTAAAGGATACCTATAAAATATTTTCACATGACCATGACCAGGGTTTTACTTGAGTGGAAGGTAAAAGAGAATGAGTTTTCCAAATGAGACAGGCCTCTGGCTGTAGTTTTCCTGGGGAATGCCAGCCTGGAGTTATTTCTTGGCCTATCCTTTGGGTTGCCTGTAGCACATGGTTGCACTGTGTGCAGTGTGTTGAGTTTTGCCTACCAGAACAGATTCCCCAAAGTTAGACTCTGTAATGTGTCCCGGAGGGAGAGAAAGGACAGTAAAATGTTCCTCCCAGGGACAGGAGGGGGTTTGGACAGTGATGTAGTGGTGGTGTATGGCAAGTCATTTCTTTGATAGAGACCAGTAAAGGAAGTGTAGCATTTATAAGTCAACTGCCATGGGTGTGTCTCCGGCCACCCCTGGCTGCAGACTGCCTGGACTGCACAGAACTTCATTTCCCGTGTGCTTCCTTCCTCCTTTCATTATCCCTCTGTCTCTTCCTTCCACCCCAGTTTTCTTTGTCTTTCTGCCTTCCCTCCTTTGAATCTTTGTTAAATCTGACTCAACAGTTGAAGTTCTAGAGAGCCTAGGGCGACGCTCTGGGGGTGATTTCTAAGTGGGTTTTCTTAAGTGTAGAAAATAAAATGACCCTTGTGTTCAATCAGTCAAACATGTGCCGATAGCCTTCTGTTTTCTAAGAAATCACTGGAAAATAAGACAGGAAAGCCAAAATGAGTTAAGATTGACGACTTAAAGAGGCAGTACTCCCTTGGAAACTGGCCCATTTGGACTTATTTTCTCAAGGGAAGTCTGTGCTGTTCAGTAGGAAGATGTGGGAGTGTGGACATTTGAGCCCTGTTCTAGACTTCAGGAGTCCTAGTGCCTTGCACCTGCTAAGCTGCTCCTGTGTCATGGACCTGGCAAGACTGGCTCACAGTGGCTTTCCCAGCCTGTGCTGGATGGAGGCTAGAGAGAGATGGATGTTGTTGGTCACCCTTCAGCATCAGTTTGTGGTAACTGCATATTGTGAAAGAGAAGGCAGGAATCGTGGTGGTAGTTTATTGTAGCGGCTGTGAAAGGAAAAGGGGGAACTACTTTGAATGTGAAAAATAGAAGGTATGATGTTACTTTCCAGCCCCGTGAAGCGGGGTCTCACCAGCTAGCTTGCACCTCAGTTCTGGGGAGCTCATGCCAGTTGGCAGTTGGCTTTACATATCTCACAGATTCGGTGAGGGACAAAACTCAGGGTGCAGCCTGGATACAGGATGGCAGCCACAGGGCACTGTGCGGTGGAGGAGGGAGGGCGGGGTTTGGGGGGGAGTACAAAAAGAGGAAGCACTTGAGATGTTGAGTTTCCAACCCTACAGGTGGCAGGTGACACGTGGGGGTCCATCACAGCCTCTGTGGTCACCTTGTAGCTCCAGGTAAATAACAGTGCTGTCACGAACAGGCCTTGGAAAATTCTAGTTCGTGAGATCTTTACTGTGAAAGAGAATGAATGCCAGGAAGGGAAAGAATTTCTGTTTACCATATGCCTGGCTCACTTTTAACACATAAAATCACTAGGGAAGTTTTTAAAAAGAGAGAAAAAGAAAACAACATGGCATCTGTGTGGTGGCAGCCTTTTAAAACAAGGAGACAAGAGGGCTGGAGGGGAATATATTTCTTTTATTGTGTGTGTGTGCGTGTTAACTTAAAAGCTTTACACAGTGGTTTAATTTGAGCGCTGGTGTTTGTGCTAGGACAGACAGGTAAATAGTCAGTTGACTTGATCATTAAAAGTACACAGTTTTAGAAATCGAAGTTTATGCTCTGGGAAAAAGCAAGTTGCATCTTTTTCACCAGAGCTGTTGATTTCTGATTTTTCTAAGCATGTAATGATACCAGCTCGGGCCTCAGTTCTAACCCCTTATTTTCTCGTCTTCTGTATTGACACATTTCATTCAGTTCCACATGATGGCAAACAGCTGTTGAACTACTAATCTTTCTGCAGCGAAACTTAGGAAATACCATTTCAGATGACTTTGCTAATGGATGCCTTTTTCTAAAAAGTAAAATCAACAGAAATAAATTAATGAGGAGTCAGGTGTGTGTGTGTGTGTGCGCGCGCGCGCGCGCGTGCGTTAAAATTTATGGGATGTATTTTACATCTTACTGATGATACTTGATGCATAAGTGAAAATGAAACAGAGCCAGTTTTGCACTGCCCAAGTCTGTATATGGTAGAATGTCAGTTGTCTAATTGTGCTGTTCCTCCCTCTGAAAAAATACACTTCTGTTCTGGGGGTCAATCAGTATCTGGTTTTGCTTCCATTGGAGTATGAACTATGCTTCTTAGGCAGCCACATGGACATACAGGCCTTGCGTTTACCTGGAATTGTTCTGCGGGTGCAGAAGCAACACTAGAGAGAGATAACTTTATTCAAAGTGGGCCTTTCAGCAGTTTTCTTTGGAAATTAAATTTTAATGAGGTCCAGTTGTTTGCCTTGCCTATATGATAGCAAATCTCATCTGCATTGCAAAGTCTAATACTATAGGCCCTTCTGCCAAACATGCAAAAATAGACCCAGCTCAATAGATAAACATATAAATTAGTTTAAAGCTCATGCAGTGAAGAAAGTCTCCAGGAAAGGGGAGGGAGAAAGGGGCCTTCTTGCTTTGAATTGAGCAGGGTCTGCCAAAGTTCACTCACTTTATATTTAAGATTTGATGAATGCTAGACTTGCAGCTGTGTGGTCAAGTACTTGCCTAGCATGTGAGGGACCCTGAGTGTTGTCCCTAGGTCTGCAAATGAAGTATAACTTTAAACGTTTTCTTTTCTTTTTCTGTGACATTTCTTGTGTAGGACATTTCTTCTGTGTGGAATGGGGTTACCTCCCGGCCCCTGATCTGCCTCGAACACTTGATGGCCATTACCCTTTCTTATGCCTGTTCACTATGAAACAAGAAGGCAATCCTGAGGACAGGCATCAGCAGGAAAGCACATGATTTTCATTTTCAGTTTGAATTGTTTTGTGTAAAAACAAAAAAAGGTCTGGGTGCAAGTTGCAGGGCGGTCACTTTAAACCCCTGTGCTAGGGTTTTCCCCCACCCCAAAGGTAAAGATTTATGGTGAAAACCTCCAATTTCCTCTTACAGTAAACACGAGAATTCTGATTTCACTCAGAGCCTGCATCTTTTTTTCCAGCCGGCATGGCAAGAATCTGCATACCCCTTGATTGTGGAAATGTGAGAGGTTGGCATGAAAGTGCCACTTCCTAGCCTTAGCAAAGGGAGATGACTTTGCCTTTCCCATCCATCCAGGGCTGACAGCAGAGGGTGAGGGGGGAGGTACTCCATTCTGCATTGTTCTGGGCAGTAAGCAAAAGACTGTTAGCGTGTTAGTAAAGTGATAGGATCTCACTGCCTTGTATTCTCATATTCTCCAGTGAAGTGGATGGACCTCGCACCCTCACCAACATGCTCTAAATAAACTAATAAACTAATGTTTGTCTGTTTCACTCCTGCCATGTGCTGATTCCGGTTCCATGGACAGGAAGAGGCAGCTTCTGACATTTCTTAAAAGGCACACAGGAGTTTTGCTGAGGGGCTGAGGAGATGCAGAGGAGTTGTGGGTTGAAATGTGTTCCTCGCTTCCTTTGTGTTTTAGGAAGCTTGATTTCATTTGTTTATTTCATGTGACATGAACCATTTTTATCTAATGTAGTGGATCTGGTAGAGATAGGTGCTAAGTGCAAAATATTCTGCGAACAGCTTTCATCAGCAATTAACCCCTTGCCCCTCCCCAAGTAGAAAATGGTGCCTTTAAAAAAAAATGATTTTGAAAGGTTCAGAGTGACAGAAAGCATCGTGTGTGCAAGTGCAAGCTCACTTTCAAAGAGGAAAAAAATAAGCCCTATGCTTTAATGAAATTAGAAATGTTGTGGGTATGAACCAAACACACACACACATTCAAGTAACAGTCTGGTTTCCAAAAACAGAGGCCCATGAGTCATGTATAATTCCACTCGAAAAATGAATTAATAGATGGCGAGACAAGAAAGAGTTCTCATGAAAAGTCGGAAGTGTTCCGCCTTCACTTTCCCTGGCCCTGTTGGGTTTATGGTCTTATGGTAAAGATCCCAGCCATGTTTCTGTGAACTGGGAAGTCTCCAGAATGAACAGTTAAACTCCTGCTCCTTTCATTTGTGTGGATGCTGGACATTCACTGTGAGACTTCCCTTGTCATTCAGATTGTCATGTGTTGTTTTTGTTTTGTTTTTAGGGTGAGAAGTGACCTTTTGAGGTGACTATAACTGAAGATTGAATTACAGAAGCAAAAAAAAAGGTAAAAATCATATGTAATTGCTGGACTTGTATCTAAAACTATTTCAACCCTTGAGTCCTGGGATTTGGGTACTTACTCTTCTGTAGCTGATATGAACATGTATATAAATATGTGTACAAATGTACATATATGGCATGTGGGCAGGAGCACTAAAAGTTTAAAGATTTCTCTTAAAGGAACAGCCTATCCATGTTCTTTGTTCCCTCAAATAATATCATACTTTTCCCAGTTTGTTGAAATTGAACTTTAATTTATTTTTGCTTGTGTGTTTTGTGGACTTAGAGTGAGAAAGGAATATTCACATCAAAGCGGTGATTCATAAAAGTGACTTGCCTCAGACACGAGGAACATGTGTCAGTGCTCTGTGCCCAAGCGATGGCATCCTATTGATGCTCATCTGCTGCCTGTCTAATCACCTTCTTTCAGGAATTAATAGTCAGGAACCATAGCAACAGGACACACTGGTGTCACTCTGTGGCGGTGTGGGGCACAGCCCTGGATGTCGGCGCTATGCTGTCTTATTTTCTTGACCTTGTTTGGAAATCAAATGAGGACTTGTTTTTAAAATTCGAAGTTTTCAGAGAGCCCAATGTGGTTTGATGAACGAAGGCCAAATTTTACTTCCTAAAATTCATGGTTTTGAGGGAGCAGATAAAATATTCCCATTAAGTGGCCGTGTATGCCTGGTGTTTGCTTGCATTCAGGAGCATCTCAGAGTTAAGCCCGTGACCTTCCTACTGGAGGGAATTTGCAGCTTCTTTCAATGTAAGAAATATAATAGTTATCTTTATGGTGTCCATTTATTTATTTAAGTTTTAATAAAGTATATATTTTTAGTGGACCCTCCTAATTCTCCTTTATGTCCCCCCCTTTTTTTTTTGACTTGAACTAGCCTTTCCATTTCATGTTTTAATATTGACCTTTAGTAGTTCATTTGATTTAGTAGGTTTGAAGTACGTAGCTTTATGGCCTCATTGAATCCTGACTTTACTCAGCTTTGCTATCTTGTTTAGTGTGTTTGTAAGAGAGAGACATTTTAGATCCTTGATCAGTTTTGTCATTAATTTCACATGAGGTCTTTGGTTCTAGAATGCATCATGGAGGGACTAGATTTGTTAGTTGTTTCTGGTGTATTTGATTTTGGGCCCCAAAATTCAGACTTTTCTCGTTACATTATCTGTGCTCTTTCGGGAAACACCAGACTAATGCCTCATGTCCCCTCAGATGCGCCAGCATGGAAGGGAGTGATTCTGGCCAGCATGTGGGGTTGTCGACCACAGTGAGATGTGGAAAAGGAAGGTTTCACTTGCCCAAGACTCATTTTGGGGCTTTCTGCCAAGTGCTGTCTAGTAAATGTTTACTGCTTTGGGTCAGTCAGACCTCTTGTCTCAGCCACTCCTCACTCTGAATGCTGTCACCTCTAGAATAGATCTTTACCCAGGATGCTCTGCAGGCCTTTAATTCTTTCTGTGCTGTTAGAAACAGGAAAAGCTGAAAATTGGGATTCATCAATGCTGATAAAGAGTTCAGAAGAAAACTTGATGAGGCATGGTGGCACACACTTTTAGTGCCAGCACTGTAGATGCAGAGGCAGACAGATTTCTGTGAGTTCATGAGTTCAAGGCCAGCTCTGTCTACACAGTGAGAGCCTATATCAACAACAACAACCAAAAAAAGAATAGAAAAAAAAGGTACCGTGAGGTCTGGGGCGGGGCTCTATCTAGTGAAGTGTTTGCATAGCATTCTTGAGGCCCTGGGTTCAATTTCTATAGATTTAACAAACAAGCAAAAAAAAAAAAAAAAAAAAAAATTCTTCTTGAGACTTGCCTTCTCCACAAAGGAGCTTCATGTGTGGCTTTTCAGTACCCTGCAAGCATGAATGATTTGTCCCTCAAGCTTTAGAGTAGCATCCGATGCATGGGACAAAGGGAGCTTTGCAGAACAGGTATTTCTGTCTGTGCTAATGACAGACTGATCCAGGTGAAGAGTGTATTCTGTTGTATCACTCACCATCCTGTAAATAATCCCTCTTTAGAGATTTTTTTAGATCCTAAAAATATTTGGTTTTTGTGACTTCTCCTTTCATGAAACAAAGAAAGCTGGTGGCACATTTATGTAATTTCTCTCCTTGACTAGATTTCTTGGAACTCAGTGTAAGAATTTTTCTTACGGGCTGGAGAGATGGCTCAGAGGTTAGAAACATTGGCTGTTCTTCCAATTCCCAGTACCCACATGGCAGCTCACAACTGTGTGTAACTCAAGTTCCAGTGGATCTGAGACCCTCCCACAGACATACATGCAGGCAAAACACCAGTGCACATTAAAAAAATAAATTAAAAAAAAGAAATTTTGCTTAATCTGTTTTTTCCATTTTTGCTTTTATTAGCTTGGTTCTTATTATTTATATTTTCAATAAACATTTTGTTATTTGACATTTTTTTGGTCCTATAGTATCAACTCCATCTTTCTTTTGACCCCAAATACCTTTAGACAGGGCCAGAGATCTTTCAAAGACAAATTCATACATGTATGAATACATGTATACATATGTGTGGTGCCTGTGCAGTAAAAGAAAGAACCACTTTGTAAAAGTCAACCTGATTTTTAAAATGTAGCATTGTGCTTAGTTCTGGATGAACTTGAGTTGAAGGATGCACTCTTACACACATTGTATGTGCTTGGATGCAGATGTGTATGTTTGGTGTACACATGTGTATATAGTTCTGTGTGTTTGGGGACTAGATGTCAGCATGAGGTACTTTCCTCAGTCACCATCCACCTGATTTTCTGAGAAAGTGTCTCTCACTGAACCTGGAGCTTACCAATTGGACTAGACTGTCTGGCCCATGAGCCTCAAGGATCCTTCTCTGGGTGCCCCCAATGTGCTGGGGTTATTGGCTTATACCACCATACCCACATAACTGTCTTCAAATGTTAACATCCACAAGCTTCATAGTTGATGTGGCACTTTGGCTTCTTTTTACCAGATCAACTTATTTGTGAGAAAGTTTTAAAAATAAATCTCAAGGAAAGTACAATTACAGTAATTTTTCTCCTACCCCAATTTGAGCTTTTTTTTTTTTTTAATGTTAAATGAAGGTGCTACAGTGCATATTCACAGTTTGCATTCATTGTGTCTTGCATAGTATGGATGATTTCTTAAAGATTTAAAATGCTTTTCAGCTAATTGAAATGTGTTAGTTCTTTTAAAAGTATGTATTTGTGTGACTCCAGCATTTTCTTAACAGCAGAACCCTTCTCAGGTGCTCCATTCAAATGATCTTTGGGGTTATTTTTGTTTCAATTGTCACTTTTTTTTTTTTTTTGCAAGATGGCATAATTCATTACAAATTTAAAATGCAACTTGGTAATTTTAGTTGGGCAACAGGTTGCTACAAGTTACTTTTACAAATACTGAACAACTCCAAATGCAATGTAGGGATCAGAAATACCTGGCTTGACAGCATTGGATAGCCAGGCATGATGGTGCAGGCATGTCATGCCAGCACTAGGTAAGTAGAGACAGGAAGATCAACAGTGGTGCAAGGCCAACTTTGCCAACATAACAAGTTGGAGACCAGCCTGGGTTACATGAGACGTTGATTAAAAAGGAAAGACTGAAGAAAACATTCAGCATTTAAATTATCTTCACGGCATAGCTAGATGACTCCACTGGCTCAAAAACGATCAACCAGGCACCTGAGCTAGCCATGGGACTACTCTTTGTCTAGATACACTATATACCCATGTCTGGGTTATAAAGATCTGGCTGCAGTTTATACTGCTGCCTTTAGTGTTTGAAATCAAATAGTCATTGCCTTTGGTTATGTGGCAATCTAGCTAGTCTAGTTTGACCAGAGAGGTCCTTTGAGTCCTCTGTCTCTGCCCCTGGGGCTCTCTCCTTATCTGTGTGCCTGAGGCTAAGTTGTTGCCACAACACGGGGAAGCCCAAACTACTCCATTTTCTTTGAAGCAAAAGTTAGAGATTGTTCACATGACACCTCTTGACATGTAATTGGTGAGATTGGAGAAGGGCTCCCTGAAGTTTCAAGGGCTTCTGGGAAATGTTTTTGAGTGAATACTGGAAAGACCTGAGCAAATATAAGAGGTCAGACTATCAATAACTTCTTTATGGAGTGAATCACTCCAATCGAACCCTCCCTCTGTCCTTCCTTCCCGCCTTCTATACATCCCTCCTTCCCTCCTTCCCTCCTTCCCTCCCTCCCTCCTTCCCTCCCTCCCTCCTTCCCTCCTTCCCTCCTTCCCTCCTTCCTTCTAGCTCTCATTAATTCATGTAGATGTACCTGTGCACACACATAAATTGTTAGCACAGGTCTCTATTAATAGTTCTTTGCTGTATTCTCAGAGCTTAGTTCTACCCTAGAGGATGTAGTCTTTGTCCTTACAGGGTTTATATTATAGAGAGAAGACAGACCCAATTGCTAATAATGACTGTTAGAAAGGTTAACTGTGGTTGCTGTTTGAAAGTGAGCAAAGCAAGGAACAGAGGGTGCCCAGTGATGTGTTTCAGCCCAGTACAGAAGTGTGAGGTTGACTTTCTTGTACTTTCTACAATGATTCTGTTCTAAATTATTAGGCCGCTTAGTGTTTCATATTCCAATTTCTTGAATTTATAATTAACTCATAGTTTGAGTCACTCGTCTAAAGTGTGTTTGCTGTCCAGGTGCTTTGAGTATTTAGCTTGCTGCCTACCACCTTACACCATGTATCATTTCATCAACCAAGAGGAAAATCTTTGCATCAAGTAGCAGCCATTCTCCATTCTGTCCTCTGTTTAACCCACTGATAGCCATTACTCTGCCTTCTGTTCCAGTAGCTTTGCTTACTTTAGGTGTGAATGGGGTCATGTAGCCTATGCTGCTTGGAGTCTAACTTCTTCCTTGCAGTATAATCATTTTAAAGATTGTCCAAGGTGTATATAGTTTTAAACTGCTTAAACATTTCTTGAGTGCTGACTCCTAAGACCAGTAGAGTGGTGA